GCACCACAGTCACTTATTGGTGCTTATAGATAGACCTTTTGGGGAGTTTTTTACCCTGGTCGTGCCTGCTGTCATCATTCAGCTAGAGTAGGTGTTCTCAGTGCTTCCAGCAGTCAGTTTCTCAGTCTCGGCTGTGTAAGCGTGCATATGGTATGTGAGTTAAACAGCATCCAGACTTCAACTTGTGCAGTTGCAACCCGAACGAAAACCTTCAGGCTGTCTCCATTGGCAGGTTCAGTAGAACGGTCAGAGACGAGCATTGGAAGGGGGAGGCAGGGAAGGGTGAGGAGTTCTGCTTTATCTCATCTGTATGTGAACAAAGTCAAATTTTAAGAGTGTCATCAACATTGAACTGTAACTTTGAAGCAAAAGTAGTATGGACTGAAAAGAGCTGTGAGAGCAGCTTCTCGAGGACAACCAGTGTTAGCATTTCTTTGTTAGGTGACTTTTGAGCTGGGTTCAAGATGGGTGGTAAAAGTTCTTCTGTTTTTTTCCCTGCATTTAGAAGAGCATTCCTGTCCTGCCCTGCACAGCCTGTTTATTACGTGGTGGTTACACAGGCATTTCTGACTTGATTTCCTTGTGGTGACATCTCTCAGGTCGGAGCAGGTTGCTTGGGAAGAGGCTTGGCTGGGGGTGTGTGCACTGAGACTGTTTACACTGAGAACTTTACGCTACTGAGCAGCGCCTTCTGAATGCCATAAAATGTACACGATTTCACTGTGAGCAGGGAAATAGTGATATTGCCATTTGGCAGAGTGTGGAAACGCGGCCACAGGAGTTAGATCTCAGAGGGAAGGTGTGAATGAAAAAATAGCACAATTCTCCTTTCATTTGCAGACTAGAGATAAGCTAATGCTTGCATGTGCATATGCAGTGTCCAAGGTCTGCAGCGTGTCAGGCGTGGAGTGCCAGATTGTCTTTCTTCCTACCAGAACATTTATGCTTTAATTCGGGAAACGTGGTGGGAACCGATAGCATCTTGTTTCTGAGAGGGACTTTCTGATAATCTCACTGGTGGTGTCGTGTCTCCGTGTGAGACACTAACTCCTGGCCCCTGCTGCGCTGACGAAGGCGGCAATAACACGGCACTCAGAATTGCTCTCGGGGCAGAAGCTGTGCAACGCACCCTTGGCACCCAGGTTTAATTGTGACGCAATTAAACTGTACCATAAACTCCTCAGTTCGGTGAGGGGAGGAGCAGGAAGGACTCCTACTCATTGCCTTTTTCCTTATCTAATTTAAGATTTACATCTATGTCACCCTGGAATCCTTTGGTCATGTTCCAGAGTCCTTGTGTGAACTAGTGCCATTTAGATGCCTTCTAATGAGGCTGAAAGAGATTGAGGAACTGGTGACTTTTTTTAAAGGGTATTTGCATGATTTGCATGCCATTCCTTCACAGTTCTGTGATAGCTTCCAAAATCTGTGTAATCTTGTCAGTGGTATCTATTTGCTGTTTGAGGAGGAGCCTCAGAGATGCATGGCTTCCAAAATGTCCAATAAATACTGGACAGGTTATTCTGTATTTTTAATTTACTGCATTTTGGATATGTTGGGCAGGGATGCTCTTGCGTGTGAGTGCAGGCAGAGCTATTTCACCAGAAATCCAGAACTACGACCTGCTGCGTTTTGGTTCTGGAAGAGATCTACAGGCTTTTAATTCATTGCAGCGTAATACTGTTCTTCAAACAAATCACACACAAACCCGTATGCCTTCTCTGCAGTCAGTTAACTCCTTTGTAACAGTTGAGAGAGCACTGCAGCAGCAAATCTGGGTCACACACCCTACAAAGGACAAACGACTACAGATGACAGGAGCTTGTGTGCTCTCTGTCGCTGAAGAAGAGACTAAAATTAGCTTCCGACTCTTATTCAAATTAAAAATTACCCAAGGGGAAAAGAACTAATTCTTAAAAAGACAACTGTTATGTCTTAAACCCACACAGTCTCAACCACGTATTACTCCAACTAAAGAACAGAAATGCAAAAATAAAAAGGCGGTAACCAAACTTTCTGGGAGAAAGGGGATTTTGTTTTCCCTAGTGTGTCTCAGAAGGGAAATACGAATGAGGTTATTGGGGACCCCAGACGGGTGTTCTGTGCCACCCTCCATACAGTGCTGCAGCAGCATCTCTTCACTCTACCGTCTCCAAAATATCACAGTTTTTAGCTGTGGAGTAGTGCCATATACACATTTTGTCAAAAGAAACCTTAACTAAATGGGTCTTCCAAGACCAATGAATGAATTGGCTGCTAGCACAACTTTGTGCAGGATCAGCATTTTCCACAAGCATTTATAAAAAGTGATAGCAGAACCAGAGAGTAGGAATATTGCTAAGTCGCTGCCTCGTGCCAAATGCTGTCAATAACACACAAATTTGTTACTATAGTTTTAGATTAAGACAACAAATCATACGCCCAGATTAAGGAATATCCTCTATTTAAGGCGTAATCTCTCATTTTGCAGCACTGTGCTTATAAATCCTTTGCAGCTTTGGAGATCACCTTCTCCAGCAGAGCAGATGTAGTGATTTTTTTATATCTCTGAATATTAAGGGTTTTTCTCTAATGTTAAATAAAATGTTTTCCTAAGCAACAAGGGCTATATGAAGGTGAAGGCAGATCACATTCTATAGCAATAAAGCCTTATGTACAGTATAAGAACAAAATGCAACTAAAAAAATGATTGTTACAAGTAGCTTTGCACAAAGATGAATTCCTGTATCCCAGAAAACATTAAAGAGCTTTGCCTGCACTCTTCCTTAAGAGACTCCCTGCCTAACATAGCCTAAATGCAGTAAATTAAACACACTCAACAACCTGTCCATTTATTGCACTCTAATGTTAAATAAAATGTTTTCCTAAGCAACAAGGGCTATATGAAGGTGAAGGCAGATCACATTCTATAGCAATAAAGCCTTATGTACAGTATAAGAACAAAATGCAACTAAAAAAATGATTGTTACAAGTAGCTTTGCACAAAGATGAATTCCTGTATCCCAGAAAACATTAAAGAGCTTTGCCTGCACTCTTCCTTAAGAGACTCCCTGCCTAACATAGCCTAAATGCAGTAAATTAAACACACTCAACAACCTGTCCAGTATTTATTGCACATTTTGGAAGCCATGCATTTCTCTGAGGCTCCTCCTCAAGCAGAAAGAGTTTTCATTGCCAAAGTGAACTGTACCATGAGATGGTGATGGCTGAAAAAGACCCAGAGGTGAAGATGGCACAGCTGGGAGTTTTGCAGCCTCCATTTCCTCCCCGGTGGGTGAGACCCTGTGCTGCGATCTCCGTGCCTTGCAGCACTGCCTCTCTGAATGGGAAGCAAGGCCTGCAGAGAATGGTCTCCTGTTCCATAATCTCCTTTTCCATGGGGTCCTCTCCATTCTGGAGATAGATGGCTTCTTTTCAGCACTCTCTGCTTGGATTTTGCATGGCTGGCTGGTTTGTCTCAGACTTACGCAATTACGGTCCTTGGTGGAGCTGCTTTAGCCACTATTCTGGTGTAGACAAGTCACTGAAACTTGAATTACCCAGACACATCGTCTTTCTCCAAATAGTGTCCCGTACTTATGGCCTGTGGGCATCTATATCCTCGGTCACAGCGATAGAAATGTTAATGGGAAAAACATCGTTGGTGAACAGAAGAAGAGATGTGTGAAGCCCTTGGAGCCTGGTGTTCTCAAACAAAATCTGCCTTGTTCTGGGGGACAGATTGGGGTCTGATGTAAAGACAGAAGGATAGTTGGAGAAGATGGTACCTGTGTTTTTGTTTCTGCTTTAAAACGTTTAGAAGGGGTTTTTTTTGTTGTTTATTTTACATTTAAAAAATGCTTTTGTTTACCGTATTTACCTTCCAACATTGGATGCCAGGGATCTGTAGAAAAATCTAGACCAATTTAACGGAGAAGGTCATGTTTGGCTTGAAGGTCCCCTTTTTAGGTGTCTCTGGTGACAGGCTTTACATTCAACTCGATAGCATCTCTGAATGTGGGTAGTGTAACGCAGACAGGGTTTGAATGCTGCAAGTGAGAAGCGTGAAAAATTCAGGGGATGTTCTAGGCACCACTAGACAGAACTGTATTGATTTAGGAGGAAATCCCAAGGAGGAAATAGTTCTTGTCAACTGATTACTTGAAGTTATGGTTATGCTACTCTTGCAGACGTCTATAAATTAAACTGCCAACAGTTGGCATCTGCCGCTGTCACAGTGCTATAGGTCATCCTTCCCGTAGAATTAGTCTGATACTGGAGTGACTTGCTTACCTGCCACGCAAATAGTGAGGGAGCATTTGGGAGTCGGGAGGAAGGTGGATTGTGCTTGGGACATGTGTACGTAACCCCAGCGTGGAGAGGAGACTGGGGACATAGCGTGGGACAGAGGGAAGCAGCGCCCAGCCCCCTGGCAAGCAGATATTGAGGGACCGCCGTACAGGAGTAAAAGAGTCCCAGACAAAAAGGGGTGCCCATGAATGATATTGTGACCTGAATCGTCATGTGCTAAATGTTTTCATGTGCTGGTGGGTCTTTCCATTCTGAAATTCTGGACTTCCTTGAATTCTGTCTCCAAGTTGCTATCTTTCCTCCCTCGACTCATGTGGAGATATTATCTCCTAGAACAGGGAGGAGGTCATGTTGGTTTTGGGGGATTTTCGTACCTCATAACTTTCCAACAATGCCGCATCTGAGAAGTTTAAATTGGAATTAGCTGACTTTTTCCTACTCTCCCAGGAATTCAGGAGTCTTTGAAGAACAGCCCATCTATGTGGGCTGAAGGTAGTGAGCTTGAGGGATAATTGACTCTGTCTGGAAACCTCTATGCTGATCCATAAAACCAGGAGGGAAGGTTTGACATTGCTTACAGTCAGTGGGGACTTTTTTTTTCCCTATCTTTCTTTTACTGGATAGTTTCAGCTCAGAGTAACTGAAGATGGATTGAAGTATAGTACCTAATCAGGAAGATGTGAAAAGATTTATTTTTCTTTACTTTACAGAAAAGGCCACAGATGGCTCTCTGCAGAGTGAAGACTGGACACTTAACATGGAGATCTGTGACATTATCAACGAGACAGAAGAAGGGTATGTGCTACTTCAGCAAACTTTGGAAGGTTCATGAACACAATCTTCATCCAGTCGTACTCAGCATGTGAGGAGATGCAGTGAGTCTGGCGGCAGATGCTCATAGTTTGAATGCGGTTTGCATATGAGTTGCTTAGTTTTCCTGCTTCTTAGACATTTCAGAAAACTACTGTATGATGCAGCATTTTCTGTGGTCGGTCTCTGCTTGGGAGGGCTGGCATGAAAAACGTATTGCTGGAGAGGGTACTGAGTTTGTACTTCTGGGGTTCTTGTTTTCAGCAGGTGTATCTCTCGGCAGTGCTGCAGTGCTATTAATTTCAGCCATTTGAATGGAGACCTGCTCTGACGCATCTCCTTCAGCATCAGAAAAACTGTGCTGCTTGCGGTTTGCAGGAGAACTGATCACTGGTCTTATGCCCTGGGCCTTTTTCTGAGTGGCTGTCAATCTTCCGTGCTTGATCAACATCCTGCCTTTTTGGAGGCCTCGGGCATTGCTCTGGTCTTGACTTCTGTGATATCTTGTCTCCTCACATAATTCTACATGATCCTAGTTTGGTTGTAGTCAAGTAATCTGAAGTTAACACACATGCTTATGTCCGGCTGTAAATGCTAAAGGATTTCTTTTCCCACGGTATACGGCATGTGAAAAGCGTGTCTGAGCTGTCTTTTAAAATGGTGTGTTTCTCCTTCAGTCCAAAGGATGCCATTCGAGCACTGAAGAAGAGGCTGAATGGAAACAAAAATTACAGAGAGGTCATGCTGGCGCTGACGGTGAGTGGGGGCAGGCTGGAATGCCTCAAAAGGGCAGAACCCTCTTCTTTTGTCATTTTCCTTTTCCTGGCACTCTCTTGAATGTAGACACTATTTGCTTTAACAGCCACTGCTCTGCCCTTTTCTTCTCTCCAATTGCCTCCTCACTTCCTTGGGGAGAGTTGCTGGAAGCTTTGCATAGCGTTTTTCTGACTCAATTGATTTCTGCTTTTTTCTGGGCCCTTATTCATCCCAAGTACTGACTGAGGAAAGTTAAAGTAGCCCAAATGGGTCTGTGTACCCTTTGGGGCTTTCCCTTCTATTTTCATCTCCCTGTGTCCTACTGTTTCTCCACTCCAAGACAACAGCTGTGGGCATATCTGCAAGTGAGGATGATGAACTTGCCATATTTTCAGCTTCATAAGTAGCTGATGCGCAATTTCCCTTGTGAATGGATCTCTGTAGGAGACTCAAATTAATTTATGCTGATCTAATTTCACTCAATAAAGTGTAAATTATATTCTGTGCATTTAGGCAGCACTGCTAAGGTGTGAAATAATTTGCCAGTGACCTTTCCTGCTGATGACTTTAGCTAGGGGTTTCCTGGGTAATGCAGCACTCCTGAACGCGCGGTGCTGGGCAGGCTCTGCGCCAGAGCAGTCTGAGGAATGAGCAGCAGTAACTAGATCGAGTTATACTGCTGTGGGTAGGTGATCTGTATGATTCTTTCACACAGCTCTTGTTGCATCTCCCTGATGAAGTGTGACTGTACTTTCTGTCTTCTTGCCATTTCCTATCCTGGATTGTCATTTTGACAGATTACCAAAGACCAAACCATAAGATTATCCATTGTGCAGGAAAGAGCCGAAATTCATCAGGAATGAGTCCATGTCATCAGGGCTGATGAAAGTAGCTGAAGTAGGAGAGTAATTACAGACTCCTCAGATACAGAGTCGCAGTGGTTATTAGGCATGGCTGTAAGGAGAAGTGACGCATTGGATTTATCTCCATGCTAATCATGTTCTTCAGAGAAAAATCAACAGCTGTTCTTCCATGGCAGTTGAATGGCAAGTGGAAGGTGCCTCTAGCTAGGCTGCAGGGGGAAAATGTGTCAAAGTATAACCTGTCAGAGCATTCACAAGGGAGTGTTTTGAATGAGTGGAGATCATTCACCTGAATTCCCAACTCTAAAACAGGGCTTACAGCTCAGAGCAAGCGGGTCCAGCTGTGTTCCAGGTACATAGAAAATGGTAGAGTGCCACAGCACGATAATATCTCACTGTGACAGGATGTCCTCTGTCTTGCCTGCTCCTGATGGGATGCTGTATACTTAGCTGTTCAGCTGTGCGGGTTGGAAAGTTCTGCTTTGAAAAGGAAGAAACTTTATATTTCTTTACCTTGAAAACAGGCAAAGGTGGATCACAAAAGTGCCCAATATGTTAACAGTGGGTGAGATACATCTAAATGTGTGTGTAGAGAAGGAAGCTTTGTGGTAAAATTGGGAAAGAAAAGAAGAATTAAGAGTATAAGTGTATTTTCTCCTCTGACTTCGAAAGTTTTCTTCCTCCCATTGAAAGTTTTAAAATAAATAAAAAAGCAAAATCGGAAACCAACCACATAGGTGCTGTGTGTGTGATCAAGCTTTGCTCCAACAATGAATGTTTTTTTGTGTCTGCGTAGGTGTTGGAGACCTGTGTGAAGAACTGTGGCCATCGTTTTCATGTCTTAGTGGCAAACCGTGACTTCATAGATGGTGTTCTGGTGAAAATCATCTCGCCCAAGAATAATCCCCCCACTATTGTACAGGATAAAGTACTAGCACTGATTCAGGTACACAGCTTGTCTCTGCTTCCATATGTTGCTGCCTGAAATAAGGACTGTTTGCTTCAGTGCTACGCATTGCTAAACATGCTGTCATCATTAAAAACGTGGCAAGTTTTTTATATGTAAAAACAAACAGTATATCCAGATTGGCAGGGAAGAGCAGACATGCACAGCAATAGATATTTTATCCAGGGAGAAATGTCTGGATTCTAGTTAGAGAGGTACCACTCTACTCTAAAAAAGAGGGCCATCCATTTATCTTTTATTAACAGTCAAATCTAGGAGCTGGAGACCTGCTTCTGTGATGGGCTTGTCATCTGAGGCCAGGAAATTTTAGAGGATCGCGCTTTTGCTGTCAGTTGCAGTATACTTACCTTTCTGTGTCTGTTTCCCTGACTGTAAAATGGAGCTGTTTCCCTCCATTAGAAAGCATTCTGAATTCCTCTTAAAGATGGTTATAGAAAAGTAAATGACCGTATAGGAGTTAAAATGTTTTTGGTGTCTTTTCTCTGGTTATTGTGCAGTAAAAGTGCACTGTCAGGTCCTTGTCTGCAGTGGGGAAGCTCAGACATAGGCCTGTCTGCCACTTCTCCTTCTGTGCAGCATAACAATAAACAGCCATGTTAATTCCACAAACCATTAGCAACACATGAGGAGACATTGGTGCCTGCCTGGAGGAAATCTGACAATTATAGGAAGCTTTATCACTAAGCTCCTACAGGCTATCGCATACACCAGAGACTAAAAGACACTGCGTACTTAAAATGATAGAAACCTGCTGCAGTGTTTCTTGTGGGAAGGTATTTACAAATGCGCAGCATAGTTTTCCAAATATACTTCTGATTTTTGTGGCACAGCGTGCAGTTGATTTTCTGCTGGTTTATTTGTTATTTGGATACACAGACAGGACATCGTTAGAGCATGGCAATGTAAATAAGTGATTTCTGAACAGGAAATAGGCTGGGTGGGGGAATTAGGTGGGCATTGCATTGGGGTCTGTGGGGTCCCTTTATTTCTGGTCTGTGATCTCAAGGCTTTCTAAGGAAATTGCACAAAATTAATGAAATTATTAAAAGCAATTCTTGTGCATCTGACTGAGCCCTTGGGTGTCTGCCTGCTTTGGTGGGAGACTGATGCATGCGGCGACTGGGAGATGAGGTTAAATACTGACCCATAAAGAGAAACTGTGCGTGTTTCTGTACTGTTTGCTCTGCTACAGTGTTTTAGAGGATGTTGGTTACGCTGCATCCCGGATTTAAGTGGAATCCCAGTCATCAATGCAACTAAGATGGAAGTGTTTGTAACATAACCAAAAAGCTGCAGTCATTGCTTCAGTGTATTAAACGGAGCTTTATCTGAGTAGACTTCGTGCAGTAGAGCTAAAAGCCTCACTCTGGGTACTAAATGCCTTTTGATATAAAAAGCCTGAGAATTACGAAAGTTGCCTGTGGGTGGGTTCTGTTAGCGTCTCTTTAGCTGGAGGTGGTACGGGACTTTGTTTTCCAGATTGCCTGACAAGTTTGGAAAAACGACTGCAGTCACTCATCTCAGCTGCCCTATTGACATGCACACCCAAAATATCCCATACGTCATGGCCACTTTGCTCAGCTTAGACTTTGCTCTTTAGAGCTCCCCTGCAGTTGGAGTTAACTCCATTCCAGGGGGCTGATCTCTTCTCAGCTCTGCTCCACTAACATCACATTTATCCCCTTCTGAAGGCTTTTTACAGTTTGGTATCAGGGAATTAATAAGAACGGAAATGAGAGGATTAATAGCAATTGGAAGCATGGAAAAAAGCTGTACAAACAGCACATGTCTTCAGCCATACAGCTCTTGTACTCCTGGGCCTTTCCGTGGCAAGGGTAGATAAAGCTGCCATCCAATTTCTTATCTAGAGACTTGACTGTTTTGAGATGTTGGACATCTTCTGTCTCACTTTCTTAACCTATTTCCCAGTGTACATGAATTAGCATGTACATTGCTTATCCTTCCTTCTTCACCTTGCTAAAAGGCCTTGGAAATATTCCTTATTGCTGTGCCTTGGGTAAGAGCTTGCATATCACCTCAGAGTTCATACCACCTTGCTGCCCAGTAGCTGAGCACTGTCATCAAAGATGAATCATGAGGAGACTTGTAGTGGCACGGCAAATTCTGTTGAAGGTACATATGTTAAAAAGTGCCCGACACTGGAAAAATTGTCTTGTGATGGTCACTGATTTAGGGGCCAGATTTGCAATGGTATTTAATTAACCTGTTTGGGCACGCTGAGGTGCCAAGTGGGATTTATACAGCAGCATCCTTGAGTATCTACCTTTGATAATCTTGCCCAAAGTCTTAGAAGATCTGAATTTGGTCTCACCTCTGTCATACACTTGTTTGGACAATGGGCAAGTCTCCTAAACTCTGTGTGTAGCTTCTTATCTGTAAAGTAGAGCTAATATTACTGTTGCCTAGTTGAATTGTAAGCTGTCTAGGACAGGGATTGTCTTACAATGTGTGTAGACAGCACTTAGGACAATAGAGCCCAGTCCTGCTTGTGACCTCTGAGAGACACACTAATGTAGATAATGCTCCCAGCTCAGGTGAAGAAGAATACAAATGAAAGTGTCTCCTTTCTCCAGGGAAGAGAGAATATATTAAAAAGGTAGAGTGCAAATGAAGCGAGTTCACTACAACAAAATCTGTAGGAAGCCAGTGAAAGAGAGGATGCATTAGTACATCCTCCTGGGCAAACAAGCCTCATTAAAAGTTGGGGGCAGCGATGCAGCATACTTTTGCCTCTAAGTTTCTTTTGAGTGATTATTAACTAGAGCATGCCTTGCCTAACATTTTTCACTCTTACTTGCAAATAGAGTTGAAGTGGGGAGCACCATTATGTAGAAGCATCATTCAGGTGACTTCTTATGTAAATTGAAAATGCAGAGAAAGTGCAAGAGTGGAGTTACTTGTGCAGTCAACATCTCCGTCAGAATTAGGGATGGTTTGAAAGGTCAGTTCCAAGGAAACAGAATAGCTCTTTGCAGTCAGAGCTGTTTTCTCTGGCTCAGATGGGGCTGTTTGGACTTGCACTGTATCAGAACAGTTGATGCAGTTAATTTACTCTTAACAAAGCTGAGAAGCAAACCCAGAATTTTTTAGCTTGCAACTGATAATGGATTGTCTCCTGGGCACATAGGGTAGGAAATGCTTTTTCTTAGAATTGAACAGAATACGGATGTAAATTAAATATTAATATTATTTCTTATCTTGTTTTGCTATCTTCGATTTCTCTCCTCTCAAATATAAAAAGTGGTTAAAAACAGCTTTTAAAGTAAAAACAGTCAAAGAACTAGTGTAAAAGTGATGACTAAATGAATTAAGTTCGGAGCCCACACATACGTCTCGCAGTAATTCTGGATCCGGCACACTGATACTCTACCTCACATATGTGGGGGTTTGGGGAATGCTTCCTTTTTAATTGAGTCATAATATTTCAATTTTTCCTTCCCCTAAATTTTTAATACTTGGCTAATTTCCAGCAAAAGTGAAAGGGGGTAGAGGCTTTCAAGATATTATGCTCCTAGCAGCTTCCTGAGTACAGGAGGCTGGCTAGCGAAGAGAAACACTTAGTACTCCCACTGAAGGAAGAGCTCAAATGTGAATTGAAGTCTTTTTAGACACCGGAGAATTCTTGCGGGAGAGATATTATGAGTGTTCTGGCTGTGGGAAATTCTCTCTTTAAACTTGTTCTTTCTGACACACCGCGGCGTCTAAGTGTTGGATGTGGTCTGTAAGAACCCAGGCTTCATTAGTTCTGCTGCTCATGGGACTTCGTGTTTCACAATAGAAGAACCTCAGAAACTACCCTTTTTATTTCAGTTTGGTCCAAATAAAATACTGAAGAAAACTTGAGAGCTGTGTTTTTTCCTTTGGCAACAAAGGAGGGTGTTTCACAAAGTAAATTGACGTTACCTAAGATTATTGTATGACTTTATGAATTTTGCTTAGATCAATTTAATCTTTCACGCAGACTTTTTCTGGTGGGTCATTGGCCATAGAATATGCAAGAAAAGATCAGCATGCAGTCACTGCTAAGCAGAGGAGATTGGAAGAGGCTTTCATTCGCATTTACAGATTTTGATGATGTCAGGGGCTAGACATAGCTACTGTGCACGGGGTTCCTGTCTATTTTATATTTGAATGAAATGTGTACGTGACTGTTTTAATAATATTTGCAGGATCTTTTAGACCAGGTCTAATGATTACAGCTTCCCTTTGAAGCTGAAATACATGAAATCTTTTGTAGTGAGTATCTGAGGTCAGGGTGGAGCTGGAACTTCGTTTGGAAGGTTTATGGATAATCCCTCATGTTTTCCAGGCTTGGGCTGATGCCTTTCGAAGTAGCCCTGATTTAACTGGAGTAGTGCATATTTATGAAGAACTCAAGAGGAAAGGCATAGAGTTTCCCATGGCAGATCTTGATGCTCTGTCTCCAATACACACACCACAAAGGGTAAGCTGCAGCATTGCAATTCCGGGGGTATTTTCCCAAGATGCCTAAATAGTTGAATAACTACTCATCTTTCCCCTCCTGTTTCTCTGAATTTGGCTCATTTTCTCACTCCTGGAAGGACTTTTTTAATAGTGAAAGGGCACGTAGGAGAAGCATAATACAGCTGCATTTGACAGGCTGATAACCTAGTGGTATCTCCTCCCTTGAGTCAAACATCAATCTGAGAAGAGAAAAGCATTTGGAGGAGGTTTGTACACTTGTCTTGTACCACAAAACCACCAGGCATAAATTTGTTCAGAGAGAATCCAGCAGGATATATGATTGAGATTTACTTCTTTTGCTCAAAAGTATGGTTGTTTCTGTTGGTGATAACCCTGAACCAAGGCCTGCCTTGTCTTTTAAAGGTATACAGAGTCTGAATCTCTCACTGATCCCATGGTAACGTGAGGTCTTTATGCCTCTGAAAAGTTAGGTCTGGAAAGCTGACAGAACTACTGCTAGGAAGTAACTTAATGATCACAGGTGTTCTGATTATTCACTCTGAAAACTGAAGTTAATGAATCTTTGAAGTGGCAAATGCAAGTGATCAAGGACTGAAAGATTACAATTCTTGTGTCAAGATTAATTAAATTCGGTATCTATGTATCATATCATTTTTTGTAAGCCTGCAACTTAATTCCTAGTTTAAAATAATTCATAATTGTTTGTCTTTGGCTCTTGTTTTTATTTTGCTTCTCACTTTTCTCGTAAAGGTAAATTGACTTAAATGCATGTGGGTTGGGTCAAATGATACAGGCATGCATTTTTGTTGCAGCTGTCTATTTATGGGCTGGCCTGCCAGTCTGTTCTCGTAACTACACTGACCTTTTCCACAAGGTGCAATTATGTTCTATATTTGAGCATATTTGGCCTGAGGTTGCTGACAAAGCAAGTGCTGTCACAATTCAGCTTTTGAACTCCTGTCTTTCTGATGTGACAGAGCGTTCCTGAAGTTGATCCTGCAGCAAATATGCACAATTCACAGTCTCAGCAAAGGATGAGCACCAGTTCTTATTCTTCTTCATCTCCAACGGCGTATTCTGCTCCTCAGGCCCCAGCTCTGAATGTGACTGGTCCCATCACTGCTAATTCTGAACAGGTATTGGGATGATGATTCTTTTGAGTGAGGCTCTTTCAGCAGATCAAATTAGAAACCAATTTGCAGAGGAACTTTCATTTTAACTCTTTTGACTTTGATTGCCTCCCAGGCCTGGTTCTACTTAGTAATCTTTCCTCCTATTACACCGTAAAATCTAGGCTTTCGATTTGTATGTATGGCCTCCTAATGGTGGCCGTTACGAAACCTCACAATCTGATATGCCAGTCCACTCAGAGGTTGTGCAGTAGGTTAGCAGTTATTCTCATTAGCCCCCGTCCTTTAAAGGCACAGAATGTCTTGCAGATGCAGGCAGTCTTTCTAACAGGGAGTTAAGTCTGCATCTGTAAGACCCTCGCAAATGCCCTAATATAGGATCTTCTTTTCTCTCTGCAAAGATAATAACTTGAGAGCCAAAGATACTGCTCAAAAGTTGTACATCTTTCCCCACATTTGAGTGAGGTACGCAAGGTGTACTGCAGCCAAGGTCTGGTTTTAGCTGCTGTTTTCAATTGTTTCCCTTCCATATAAGCATAGCACATCTGGGTTTGTGATGGCAGTGAGTGGTTCCTCAAAGTTCTTTCCTTTTTCTGTTGCTTTTCTAAAATTCTCTCCTGGGTAAACTTTTTATCTTTACATTTTTTTTCCCTGCTAGAATGTCTGGAGCCTCAGATATCAAGTCAGACAGAACCAGAGATATCACAAAGTCAGTTCTTGAAAATTATCTGCTTAAACCAAAAGATTATGCAGTATTTTGCTGTCTTTTTACCCCAATTTAGATCGCCCGGCTCCGCAGTGAACTGGATATTGTTCGTGGGAATACAAAAGTGATGTCTGAAATGCTGACAGAAATGGTACCTGGACAAGAGGATTCCTCAGACCTTGAGTTACTGCAGGTAACAGTTTCCTAGCGAATATGATTCTAATAATTTCTGTGCTTGAGTTTTTCTGGGGGGGTGTTTTTTGTTGTAGTTCACTGCCCTGGTTTTACAAAATTAATGTGGACTGCGCTTGACCCTGGTTAGTCTCATCACTTGATGTTCTTCATTTGTTAAAGCTTCCAGTGACAAGGATTTCCTAACTTCCCTTAAAACTTGTTCCAGTGCTTTCTCCTCCGTGTAGCTAGAATTTTTTCCCAATGTTGAATAGAAGGTCTCCTTTACCACAAAGTGGCTTAAAATTGTGATAGGCTTTATAAGCCCTGAGCATTTCTGCTTCTTTTACATCCTCCATCATCACTTGTACAGTGGCAAAACATTCCTGGTCACTATGCAAGAAAAAAACACTCCGTGTTTCCAGCTGGGCTAAATATTCCCAAGGGTCTGTGGATTCTCTGCCACTCAAAATCTTATATATGAACTAACTGTCTTTCCAGAAGATGTGCTATAGCTTCTCCTGAAGGTAGTGGCTTAAGGCAGGCGCTCAGGCGAAGTTTCATGCTGTCCGGAGGGTTCGACTGGGTAATCAGAAGGGCTTGCTTTGCTGCAAAGTCTCAATCCAGTGCAGCATTTATTATCTCAAAAGGGAAAACAGTTTTAGTTGAGCTCATGTCTCAGGCTTCATACCTGTTTCCCCAGGCCAGTGGTAGCAGGGTGCCCTTTTGCCTGAGGAAAGTAATACAGTACCACATGCAACACAGATGAGGAATACTGTGATCTAGCATTCCAGCTGCTGCCCTTAACATGGTATTTGCCTTTCCATAGCTTCAGAAATAGGCTTCTGTTTTGATCTTCCATCAGGGAGGATGGGCTCCCACAGCAGTACATTTGGAGGAAGGCAGGGAATTGCTCTCTGTGATACATCAGAGTTTGAAATCCATCCAAAAACTGGTCTCTCCCATGCAGTGGTATTGTGCATTTGTCTCCGAGCCATCATGGCAGCTGATGAGAGGCTTTGCAATAAAGAGCCTTTCAGTTACTGCCCATTTGGGTCGGACTGCTCAAAACAAAAGAAGCTTCCAGGAAACCACGACAGACCAAAACAGCGTAGAACAGTTTGCTTACATTCAGAAACAACTTCTAACATCTTGACAGCGTAACCTTACAGCATAGCTTTAAGGTGAAAGAACTTGATCATAAAATGGAGTGACAGCAGCGATTCTTTATTCCAACCGGTTCCTTTCTTTGACTGATGCATCCTAAATCTGAATCACAGAGCTGGGGAGAACCCGGTTTTGATCACAAAGGATGGTTAGTCTTTTGAAAGCTGTGAGCCGGGTGCTGCATGCAAGGACTCCTTGCTTTGAGGTTTATATAGCCCTCCTCCTTAAATAATTCCTGACATTTTCTCCAACAATCAAATGTAAACAGCTTGCTGGAGAGCCAGCTCTGAGCAGAATAGATAGGTACTGTCAGCCCTCTCGGAAAGGCAGCAAACAAACCTCTGAAATGTCACAATCTGCTTCTAAAGTGATGGGATCAAAACTGACATTGGAGAACACATTCCTCAAGCTGTTAAGGCAGCTGGATTGCACTAGGTGAAATTTATCCAGAGCTTAGGATGTCAGACCAAGCAAGGAAAACAAACACATTTTTGCTTTCATCCCGAAGGTTGTGTACCAACGAGTCATCCTTGTTTAGTGCTGAATTTTTGCTGTGAAGTGGAGCTGGGGGGGTGGAAGATGACAGAGGGACATGCTTTAGTTGAAATGTCAGTGCTTACTGAAGTAAAACCGTGGGCCTAATCAGTGGCGCCATGCCATATGTCACGTTTCTTCTTGTAGTTCCTCCTCAACATACCGGTTTTGACCTTTGGTCTTGAGCCCTTTCAGGAGTAAAGAATTCTGCTAAGTAATTGGTGATGGAAGAGATGTCCTGGAAGCACGAGAACTCCTGGTTTAGGCAAACTCAAACCTAGATTTCTTGGCATGAGAGACTTCTAAAATAAATGCCCTTACTCTATATTCTTTAAAATTTTCTTCTGAAACTTCCCACTGCCTTTTTGCAGTCTCTTGTCTGTGGACTTATTCAGTTGAAGGGAACGTTTCTGTGTATAGTTCAGTACTGAAGTGTGTGTGTGTGGGGGGATGCTCATCTCTTTGTGCTCCTGCTTCTTGTTGTGTGTTCACCCTTGTGTTCTCAGTAGTTGGTAAGTTCTGTGTCCCCAACCCTTCTCTTCCTGCTGTGTAGACGCACTTGCTGCTTGTGGTAGCCATGATGAACTTTCTTCCCCACTTGTTCCATCACATGCATCTTTTAGTTTTTAAGGATGATATTGCCAAAAAGAGCAGATTGAATTTTCCGTGAAAGCTCTCTTCTGGAAAGCTGTTGTATTAACATGTTTTATTCTTAAAACAGATCACTAAAATACAGATATTTATTCTGTGGAGTGCTCAGAGTTAAAGAAGAATCAGGATGTTGAATTGTAAATAGGCTCTCAAGGTTTTATGCCATCGTCTCTTGAAGGGCATGTTTGATTAGATGTGCTTTTGGGTGACATTTAATCACGCAAAGATAGACTTGTCTTAGTGTTTCTCAGCTGGGGGATATGTTTGGCTGTGAACAGAGCTCAACTAAATCTACTTATTGCTAGCTGCTTATCAGAATGTGTGTGCACAATGCGTTCCTCCTAGGAGCTGAACCGAACCTGTAGAGCCATGCAGCAGAGAATTGTGGAGCTTATCTCACGAGTGTCCAATGAAGAAGTCACAGAGGAACTGCTGCATGTGAATGATGATTTAAATAACGTCTTCCTCAGATATGAAAGGTGGGGCACCTTTTCCATCAACTATTTACATTCGTTCTGGGTTTTCACTTAAGTGTAAAATAGGTCTGTTGACAAGAGTTGGCCATCTGGGCCAATGGTTCAGCTTAACAAAACGCAGAGAACCAAACCACAGAAAGCATTTACAAAGTCTTTTTATGGTCATTTGTGGTAACATTCTTGTTTCAGTTGTTTCCTTTAATACTATGATTTTTTTTTTTTTGTCCTAGCCATTGAATTTTTGTGGGGCATATCCGTAAAATGCAAGGCATTGTGCAAAACTCTCTGAACTAGCAGAGACTTGAGTCTGCAAGTCCCTGTCGTGCGGTGCTGCACAGATGTAGGGACTTGGGACCAAAAATAGCACAGCCACAGTCGCTAGTTCCACTTGCTAGCCTGGGCTCTGCACAAATGCTTGTGCTGCTGCCTGGGTTAGGGAGGCTCCCGTGAGCTCTCTCTGTCTCCTGATCTCTGAGCTTTCTAGTTCCAGTACTGGTGCAAGGGGAGCTGCCTGAGGTGGGCGTGACCTTCATGCGTGTAAGGGTTTTGTTTTTAAGTAGCACTTAAAATCTTGAAAAAAGCCTATCTTGTGTGGAGCTGAGGTTTTGAAGAGTTGGTCTGCGCAAATCGTCCCCAGGGGCAGGACTTGGGTCATAGGACTTTCGACACGTTAGACAAAGGCGCTGTCAGCCACATCTGCTGCAGTAGGTGACACGTGATACAAGCAGTCTTGGGAAAGTTTAATCTTCCCCTTAATGACAGGTCTGGGGAGTGAGGCACTAAAGAGTACCCTTTGTTCCTTGCTCTTAGCACGGGGCTTTGTTTCTCAAGCCTTTAAAAATAAATTAGACTCTAGATCTGCGAATCTGTGCTGTCACGGCAAAGGCTGGAAAGAAGACTCAGTGGCCTCGATTTTGTCTTTGATTTAGTTGCTCAGAGGAGATTGGGGCAAACTTTGAAACAAATGCTGGCTTTTTATGTGAAACGGAACGTGTTTCATGCACAAGCATGATTCTACAAGTGGCAGAGTGTAACTGTCACTGAGGCTTAGTCTGGTCACCCTTAATATTTTTTCTATTTTCCTCCATCTGCGACTTTGTTGATTGAGGCTAATGTATTTGTAGTCATTATACACTGAAAGGTGAGCTGAGTGATGTTAGCAAGCTATTTGTGGTAGAAGAGCTGCACTGGTCTGAGCGTTTCAATAAATTCCAGTTCCTCCTCTGCTATTCCAAAAGCTCCACATTCATCACGCTGATTTCTTGTATGGGTACCGAGATCTGTCAGTGACTCAAGCAGGAGCTCTGGCCTTCGCTGTGAAGCTTTGGATGTAAATGAACGTGTGGTTCATAAGCCTTTTGGGTGAGAAATATGAGGTGGGAGGTGTCTTAGGTTTCCAGCTAAGGGAGCTGGATTTCCAGTAACAGTAGACACCCACAGTTTCCTAAAATTGAAATTTGGGCCTGAATTTGTTTTTACTGCCTTTTAAGTCTGCATTTTCCTCTGTTACATTAAGAAAACATTTTAGTTTCCTTGAGATTCCCTGTTGTATTTTGTCCATCTGGGAGAAAACCCACAGGACTATATGAATACTATGGGTTTTTTACTAAATAGAGAGATTACATGTGAAACTACTTTTAAATGAGGAAAAAACTTCAGAGAAATCATGATGCTTTTCCTGGTAAGGAAGGAGATTGGACTGGCCTCAGACAGGCCTTGGGAGGAGGTAGTTTCCCCTGCCTTTTCTGAGTTCATGAAGGCTGGATTTAGGTTTGCGGCCCCAGATGCACACCTGGTTGGGGAAGGAGTAGAGAAGAGACCGGATCTTGACTAGCCAGACTTCTTCCCCTAAGTAGTACGAGGATTTTTATCCAACATCATTAATTTTCATTCTTGGAAAGTACCAACCTATTTGAACATAGGCTCTGACGATCCTTGAGCTGACCCAGAATGTTTTAGAAAATGAATTTGCTAAGCATTTTTTCTCTTGCCATGTGCTGCCTGGGTAGGGCTGTGCTAGCATGCATATGGCTTCTCATTTACATGTATTGCAGCAAGAGGGAGCTGTTAAGTGGGAGTAAGACTTGCTGCAGTGCTCAGCTAATTTAGCTGGCAGCATCAATCTTGCTGCAGTTCCTCCTGTCCCTTGGCTAACAGAATAGTCTATCACGAAGCACTTAATGAAAAAAACCAAAGACATATCCTACAGTGTTTTTCAGGCATGTGTGTGCTGCAAGATCAGATGAGTCAACTTAATATCCGCGTTTGCCAAGAATGCAACTTCTGTAACTATTCTCCCTTTGTCCTAGCTTGGAGTGAAAGCTTTCAGGGTTCCCTCTTGAACCAACGAAAACTAAGTTCGGTAGCAAGCGTGTCGTGGCTTTATTGTAAACACGTGTTTTTCATAGTTTATTGGTGGCTTTGATAGTCCATGTTGGTTTTTTGTTGTTTTTCTAAACAGATTTGAACGATACAGATCAGGACGTTCAACACAAAGTGCCAGCAATGGAGTAAGTACCTAACTCCATTTATTATATCAGCAGCCTCACCATGCTAGCCGTACTGATATCACTAGTATCAGACTTCTTACCTGTCCAGCCCTGCGTCCTGCCTGTAGTGGCTAATAGTGGAAACCAGGAAAAGAGCGTAAGAATGTGGCAGACCTCAAGTGACAACTTTTAGCTCGGGAAGACACGACACTAAAACATCTCTGTGTTTACAATCCTTGATGGATTTTCTTTCCTTTATTAATTTTTTTGATTGCTTTTGAGCTCATGCATACTTTAGGCATTCACAATGTCCTTAAGCAGTGAGTTCCCCAGTTTCACTACCCATTTTTACATATTTATGTGGGTGTGTATATATAATAAATATTTTGTTTACATTTGAACAAGTCACTTAATGATTTTTATTTGATCCACCTAATTCTTCTTCACTGTGTCTTACAATACCACTGTTCAGATTCATTTTCTTCATGCCACTCATAATTTTAGGAACCTCTCTCATCTCCTTTTTCAGCAGCTCCTTTCCAAGCTGAAGAGTTACAGTTCTAATTATCCTTTCAATGAAAACTATTTTATAGTTGTTTTATAGTGTTCAAGATCTGAGTTCATGATGAATTCATACGTGGCACTATTACATTTTCTATTTTGCTTTCTTCTAACAATTTCCACTATTTACTTTGCCTGTTTGAGTGCCACTTCTACTGCAGTGTGATGCAAACTTCATCACAGGCTCTGCATTGTAACTCTAGTCACAAAAAACAAGTTTTGTTTCTGAAAACAGTTGATACCTAATGTGGAAGATGTTAGCAAATTCAGTTTGACTTAGATCTGATGTTGGTCCAGTGCTAAAAGAGGTGGAGAACACAGACACATTAGCTAAATCTGAAGAGATGCAGATGACCTCCAGGAGAGTTCCCTGCTGTGCTGAGCAGTCAAACTCGAGGTTTTTTTGGTGGCTGACCCTTTTTATTCTGCACTCATCACTGTAGTATCCAAGAGACTGGTCCATTTGGCAGTGTGCAAGAGAGATCTTTTTAGGAAGCACCCATTATTTTTTGGTGTTTAATGTTGCACTGCAAGAAGAAATCTTTGGCATGTGTAACTTGCTGTGTTTTTTGTGTCCCAACAGGTACTGAATGAGGTGACAGAAGATAACTTAATAGATTTGGGTCCTGGCTCTCCAGCTGTAGTGAGCCCAATGGTCGGAAGCTCAGCACCCCCGTCTTCACTTTCTTCACAGCTTGCAGGGCTTGGTGAGTACCTGATCTAAATAGTGCTGATGAACGTGAGGCTGCAAGGCACGGACTTTTTCAAGCCTGACCAGTCTGTGAGTCTTGAACAGCATGTGGGGGCTGCTACACAATCTAGGTGTGTGAGTGCGGGAGCAAGTCTGAGCAGTTGCTGAGGTCCCTGTGACCAACCTGAACACTTAGTACAAGCTCTTATCGCAGTGGGCTGTTGGGATTTACGAGGAGCCATTTTCCTCTTTCATTGGTGGGTCAGGGAGTTTCTGCTCCCTTTGGCTCTCCACTGCCTGATTAACATTGCCATGTAGCCTTCAGAAGGTTTGGGTACGTGGCTTACAGGATTAGGAGGGCTTTCCCACTCCCCTGCACTGTAGCGATCTGTAATTGGGAACCAGCCTGGCACAAAGGGAGGGATTTGTTAACCAAAGGGGAGAGTGAAGGAAAGGATGCAGGTTCTCATTCATGGTAAAACTTGTACTACTACTTTTATTTCTGTGTAGGTATAGCTCTCCGTGAAATCAGACTGGTGAATGTTCTTGATTCCCCTTCTACAAGTGATATTTGAAATCTTTGGATGAAAGGTTTTATGAAACTGTTAGGTATTTTACATTAAATCAAACCAAAGATATGATATGATGGCTTGATTTGACTGAAGGTTCTCCACCTCTTTCAGCACTGCACCAATATCCTATCACTTGATCTGAAACTATTGATTTCACAGTCAGTAGCTGAGAGACAATGTTGTAGAGAAGACGAGTATCCATGCCCCAAATTTTGGACCACGTTAGTGAACAGTAAATATCTCAGGATGAGATTGGCAGCAGGTGCACACCAATTCCCAAATGTTGACATCTCGATGAGGAATACTTACAGTGTGGTGCTTCCAGGAGGATTAAGACCATCTCTACATTTGTCCTTTAAGAAATGCATAATTAGCAGCCTCCAGCCTCTTCTGGACAGAATTGTGCTCAGTGCTACGACTGTTAACTAGATGATATCTATAGCTGTCCTGTATTGTTAATGATTTACTCTGTAACCTACACAGTCATGGCAGTGGCACTTGCATATGGTTTGCTGCTTCATTGGTTTGCTTTTTTTGCCTCCGCTTGCAGACTTGGGTACAAACAGCGTCAGTGGCACACTCAGCTCTCTACAACACTGTAATCCTCGTGATGACTTCGACATGTTTGCACAGACAAGAGGCAGTTCCTTGGCTGAGCAGCGAAAGAAGTATGTTGGAGTTTGTCTTTAGTTCTGTTTGAGTCATGGCATTGCTCTTTTCTAAGGGCATAAATCTGAAACTTCTTGACTTCATTCCAGACTAAAAAAGTAGTTTTGGTGTATGTTTTTGTGCTTTTAATCCAAGCCCTATCCAATTGGTCAATATTAGTATGAGCAAGTGGAGAAGTTCCTGGTGCTGGGCAGAGCAGACCGGCTGAGTAATGTTATTTGACTGTCTTAGCTAATGAGCTCACTGGAAACTTGGAAATGAACTTGCCTTTACTTCTGCAGATGCTTCCTCTCATAAAGGCTTGTCATCCCATCCACCCGGCCAGTGCTTGAGATACAGGAGCATAAGGGTCCCTCACCTGAAGGTCATGGATATACTTTGGTGACTGAATTACTGTCATCAAGGGCTTGGAAACAGAATTACCATCCAGTTAAACTCTCCCTTTGGCCCAGTAGTCAGACTCTCGCAGGCTGTCAAGGCAGCGTAGCTTGCCTGGCTGCCATGCTATCCCTAATTTGTTCATATGCATAGGGTTTGCATCTCTAGAGCTGCAAATCTGGCACTTTCAAGGGCATTTAACAGGTCCATTTATTTTAATGTAAAATAAATCTACGCAATTATTAAGAAATCCTCTGATCCCTGTCAAGTGAGATTCAGTAAAAGACACACTCAGGTATTTTTCTTTCATATATTATTTCTTGCCTCCTGGTTTCAGATTCTAGAGGATGTAGTGGCTACCAGCAGTCAGAACGTCATCAATATCTTGTCTCAAACTAAGAAATGTTGTTAAATAATTTAGCTCAGACCTTAGCAGATTATCAGAAACTTACCAGCTCTGGAAAACTTGAGCCAGCAAATTTATTAGGATCTTTTATTGGCAGTCATCAATATAGCTATTGGTACTGCCTCAGCTATAGTATCAATGTTGAGAAGATGTGCTCTACTGTAGAGGCATACATTACCCCTGGAGATTTCAGGCTGAGAGCCCTAAAGTGTAGTCAGAAGGGAGATGCATTGCGGAGAGATCTAATGGAGGTCCCTCTGTCTCTTGTGCTAAATGAAGCACGGAACTAGTCTTCCCACACTGCAGCTCTGTCTCCTTCTGCAAGCTAATGGAACAAGGGGCACACATCAGTCCATGATTTCACAAGGGAGGATTGCTGTATCTTCCTTGGGTTGTACGCCATATAAATGGAGCAGCAGCAAAGATGTGAGTGTGACTTGCTGCGGTGTGTAGGTGAGAGCCTCTGGGTGCTGTGCTCGGAGCCTGGGAGAAGCCAGCATGCTGGAGGAGAAAGTGCTCCTCCTGCTCAGACACACAGCTCCTCCCAGGGGCTGATTTATGGGCAGGTGTTGGCATCTGCTTCAGCTCATGGTTCATCGCTGTGCTCTGAGAAATGATGCTATTGCCTCTGTCACCTGACTGCTACGTGTCCCTTTTGCATAGCAATTTAAGAAGCTTTTTAAAAATCCAACCTCTCTAAATAGTGCGTTTCTTTGTGTGCTTCACTGTAGTTGCTTAGTTATGTTTCATCTGTCTTCGAGTCTCCCTCTGCCTCCCCCCATGCACACATCAAGTTCAGGCTTCCAAATGTCATCTTCAAAGCTTTGCAAAATGCAATCAGTAATCAGGCCTCTTTTCATAGTCCCCTGCTAGCTCTTGGGCACACTTATGGTGCCTTGTAAGCTATTTGCCTACCTTTCATAATGCCAGTCTTACTCTTTTTGCTTCAACATGCTCACTGAAACTGATGGATGGTCTTTATACAGAGCACACTCCTCTTCTTGGAACACACTTAGTACACCTGAAGTCTTGTTACGAAAAAGAATGTGCTTTCTGATTTCCAGGGAAGTAAATCAGAGTAGCAAGTGCGTTCTGCATGGGTGACTGCTGGACTTCCTTCTAGTTCTGTCGTCTGTTCCTTTCTTTCAGCGTGACGTATGAGGATCCACAGGCTGTCAAAGGACTAGCGTCTGCCCTGGATGTTCGAAAACAGAACACGGGAGGGGTAGGTTGTTGCTCTGCATTTTGTTATCTGAAGCCGTGCGTGGAATCTGAGCTGTAGGCAGCTGCTTTGCCCAAGACTTCTCATTCTGTATTCCAGTGACATGCTAGTACTGGCTATTTTGAAATTGATATCTAGGAGCAAGTACTTGCTCAGTAATGATCTCTAAAGAGCTGCTACTTAGCACACCAGCCTAAAAGACTTCAAAATCATAGTGGGTAAATTCTCCTGTGTTCTTGCAGCTTGCCTGGGGGGTCTAGCTCTTTGACTGGAATCACTGCTGAAAAGAATAAGTAGGGAACATCCTGTGAGCACTGGTGTGCATTTATTTGGTTGATTTTTGCTTATGAAAGTTGTTGCAGTCTTAATCTACTAGACTTCTCTCTACGTGCACGGATACACGAGCAAGTTACAGGGAGAGAAATTATGTAGACTTTTAATGCTTCACATGCCTTGCCATAACTGCCCTTGCATGCAGCCTGTTCTATCTGTCCCAGGGCAGGCTCCTGCTATCTTGTGTGGGCAAAAGAGGCCCATGCGCTGTCACCTCACAGCAGCTGATGTTAGAAACGTGTTTGAGAGAGCGAGCTTGGCCAGCTTTGTCTGCATGCCTTGGTGAAGGCAGAAGTGAAAAGAGCTTTCAGATCGTCTCTCGACCCCTTTCTACCACCCTGCTTTTTAAAACTGTCCTGCTCTTTTGTACTCAGCTATGTGCAAGTTTTTAGATGACGAAGCAAGTTTAGAGCCTTTTCCTAGCCTAATTTTGGTCTGTGCTGACCACTAGGGAGCATGGCAGAGCCAGTGTAGCATGGGAGAGCCAGTGCAGCATGCACACGCCTCCCTCCATGGAGAATTGCCTCCCCATGCCTTGGCTGATCCCGCCCTGGTTCTTTCATAAGTTGAAATGGGAGTGCTCAGGGCAGCTGGCATGCCTGGCAGCTTGTGCTCTGAGCCAGGGAGAATTTGCGTTCGGAGCCAGCTGGGGTCAGATCACAGCTGCCTGCCTGCCTGGGCCATAGTTCAGTAGTATCAGGGCTTCAGCAATGATTCCTTATGGAGCATCCCCCTGCCCCACAAATCTATCTGCTTGTTCCTGTCCTTGTCCTCCTGTGAAAAGGGTAATTTATAACCCAGGTCAGCCCCGTGACCAGTTTCAAGCTCGGCCCCACAAAAATTCACTCGGCCCCACAAAAATTCATGCCAGCAGTACTGAGGGAAAAGGGGGATGCACGGGGAGGCAGGGGCGAAAGTATATTAACGGGGGTGAGAGAGGAATTCCTGAAGCCAGTGTGACAACCCAAGCCTCCAGTATCACTGAGCTGTGTTACTGGCAGGACCTGGGAAAGGATTTGAGATTCTGCTCTTTGTTCCTGGCTAACCAAATGCAAGGGGCATGCATTTAGCTGCTGGTCAAGGGGGCTGTATTCCCCTGGTGGCCACGGGGTCATGTCCTTATTTATTAACACTTTTGTTCTCAGCGAATTCTGCTTGAGGCACCAATGCGACGTGTCATTCACACCAGTGTAGTTGCTGCTCTGCCCGAAGTGTTGTCAGTTCAAAGGGCTGTGTCTAAGCTAATCTGACGGTCAAAGTTTTTTGGGGCAAACGCTTTATGGGTTGTGGAACTTTGGGCTCTGAGATGTACAGACTTTCAGCCTCTTTTCAAAGGTCCTGATGACTGTATCGTGTAATCAGAATAGCTTGTTCTGAAATGCAGTCTTTCAGTAATTGGTAAACACTACTTTTTGTCAAGTGTGAGGCTTGTGGGTGTCTCTTCTTAAAGGAAATAAAAATTAAACTCTCCTAAAGTTACCAGCCCCAGCATGTGTAGCAAAAAACTGGCAGTGCTCAGTAAACGAAAGACACATGTTAATTTGGGTAGAGAACTAATTTAAGAACAGCTCTAGGGAGGGGCCAAAAGCTTCGCAACACATTCTTCACACACATCTTGTTCCAGCACAGTTGTCCAGTGGTAAAATTCAGCACATCCGATGTTTCTACTGTAGTCATTCTCAGAATGGTCTGTAGAGAGATGGCTGATCACGTGGCATTAGCTGTCTTTTAATATGACTTAGCAGCTGGAAACAAGATGAGCTAAAAATACACTGTTTTCTTAATATTGCTTTTCCATGTTGGGAATTGCTTTTATTGCCACAGAGTTGTTGCGTGCTCACAACTGGGAGGAGAGGTGTCCAAGAAACAATTCTCTGGTGTTACACAGATAGTAGATGAAGTTGGAGTGATTTCCCCCTTTTTTTCCTCAGCACAAGTACTGAAATGAGACATAAAAGTCTCATTGTCTCATATGAGACAATAAAATGATTCTCCATTATCTGTGGTAATGGGGACAGGAGAGGTATTCCACGTATACGGGTATCTGGGTGGAGGTACGTAAACACACCAGTGGCTCTCTGCTGAGCTAGCCCAGTTCTGGCAGGGCCGGTGAGCTGAAACCGCTGCGCTCTGCTGATCCCGAACAAGCCCCTCCAGAGCTAGAGATGATTCTGCATCCAGGCCCTGGCTCAGGGATGAGATGCTGAAGGACAAGAAGCCATCTTGAGAGTCTTTGCATTGCTGTGCCATGCAGTCTGTCAGCCTGCTCAGAGGGAACTGGATGCATCAGCGGTCCTTTTAACCTCTGCCGTTCTTAGAGAGGGGCAGTTTGAAAGACTGCCAGAACACTGCAGCAAACTGCCATTACTTACCCTCCTGCTCAAACGCCATCATTAGAGCTGTTGTACTGCTAGGTTTGGGGCAGAGTCTGTCTGCTGAGATCAAGGAGGTAAGTAGGGTGTGCTGCAACTCACAGCTTCATAAACAAGGGAAACTCCACAATGCGTAATTCTGGTGTTTCCAGTAAAGTCTGATTTTAGTAGGTTGTATAGCCTACACTTTTTCTTCTTCTAAGAAGATGACAAACATCAGCCTCACTACTAGTCAGTGATTTATTTTTTTTATTTTTTTTTTTTAATATCAGCATGGAGGAAGTGCTAAAATTCTGTGAACTGTCTGTAGGAAGTGCAGAGGTCGGGGTGAGGTCTGTCCCTCCACGGACAGAGCTGACAGGCAGCAGAGGGGGATGCAGCTGCTGCCAGAAGCTACCATAGGCAACTCTCTGTGTGTGTGCATGTGTATGTGAATTTTTTAACTTGCTGCTGTTACATTACTTTATCACGGGTTGTTGCTGTGGTTTCTCTCTTTATGGACCTTTCTGTTCTCAACACAGAGGAGAGGTAAAGGTGGGAACTCAGACATGGAGCCCATAGACAAGTGGCTAATTACACAAGGAATGGTGAGGACTTCACCAGTGAAGCGATTCCTACTGCCCACCCCAGTCCCTTTACCTAGAATAACCATCCTCCATTCACCTCTCGTCCTGCCCTACTGAACCACTTGAAATCAGACAGTACAAGGAGTTTATTTTCCACCTACGTCATTACCTGGGGCAAAGGGAAAGATTTGCACCAATTTCTGGTTTGTACAGCACAAAGGCCTATAGCCAACTGAATCATTTGTAGGATCCCACATCACCCTCGGAAGAGGCCTGGGGATCCAATTAGTTCCTTATACTGTCTTGATTTATTTATGCAGTATCCACTTTTCGAGGGATAAACACAAGTCTCGTGGATCTTGTTCATAAAGAGGACACTTTCTGCATGTCTTTAAGCACTACCAGAAAAGGCTGCTTTAACTTCATGGTCTGGAATAAACATACGGCGCTTGCAGGATCATATCTAATTGAACTGAGTAACGTAGGGATAGTTCTGTACGAAAAGAAGGGAATGAGAGAACTGCTACCCAGATTGACATCTTCCACCCCAGCCAGGGAATTACACTGGCATTAGGATTCAGACTCCAAAAGGTACAATAGTGTTTCTGGCTTTAAGGATTTAATTCCCGTGTCTAGTGATGCCAGTGCTCTGATAAAATCAAGCTTCTGAAGATCACTGAATCTTTGCACATTTTGACCTTGTTTGAAGTTGTCCTTCATCAACACGCTTGCAGAGAGAAGTTCAAAAGCCTGCTTTAAGTGCAGAAGTCAGAGGGAGGTAAAAAATAGCCTCAGCTATGCCTTAAAGCCAAGTTCTAAGACCAATTTTGTATTTTTGGACAACGTAATCCATCACTTTAAGTGTTTGAGATTAGTACCAATAATGTGACCTAACTGTACAAAGTCCTTCTGAGACAGTCCTGACTGCAGCTGAGTTCAGAAAGAATTCCCTTTGGGCTGCGGTGCGCTTGCAGCGCAGCGTGTGGGGCTGTGCGTCAGGAGGCCCATGGAACGGGAACGCCGGGGAGAGCCTTGAATGTCCCAGACGAAGCCGCTCAGTGCTAAAAAAAGAGAAACATCCCAGAGAGTTTAAGGTTGAGAAAATCCAGAGTGTGCAGTATCGGAGTGCACCAACTCTGTGAAACACTTTGCATTTATTCTGCTAGACTTATTTCTGAGGGCCCGCTTGTGAATTTCTCAGAAGTTTGCATGGCTGGTGCATGCACAGTTATTGGATACACGCGTATATACGGTCGTATCTGCCTGCCAGTGCACGCACCCAGAAGCAGTTCTGTGCCTGCTAGCCCACGTGGGTAAGCCCAGCTGTAGGTACCTGTCCTTGGGAGGCAGAGTTTCATTTCGGTGCTCGTCAGAGACCCACAGCTCGTCACATGAGAGTGAAAAGCCGTAAAGAGAGCAGCGCTTGCTTTGCCTCTGGTACTGTTGACTGTGGTTCACAGAGGCTCTTGCAGGTCAGTGGCTCTGTTGCAGCCAGAGATGTACTATGCCACTGTTAGATGTTCATCCATAATGAATAATCCAGTGATTGAGTTAGTTGTTCTTCTTTGCCTTTCCACTGTTTACAAGAGCAGGGAAGCATGAAATCAGCACCCCTGCTGTTCACACCACTCACACCACTGCTTTATTAAAAAAACAAACACAATATTCGTTCATTGGCTTGTGGTTATTCAGTCTGGAAAAAGGATACTGCAGCATTCATGGAGGCATACGG